ATGGTGAAATCCAAAACTGAGCGGGAAACAGTTGACTAAATTGTGAGTGGAAATTCTATAAGTTCGCAATATCTTTATGCATAATGAAAATAATGAAAAAAAAAATATTTAAAAATAACAAGATACAATTTCATTAAAATTATTTTAGTTCCTGAATGTGTGATGGACTTTTTTACTGCTGATAATGTATTAATACCCAGGAAAGTTTTTCTATACCAAGAGGAAGTGTTACTCACTTTAACCAACAAGAACATGGAGGTGGGTCTTAGACCGCTGCAGCTCTCACATGAACAGAAACATAAAGTTGTTGTACTGTAGCCCTGAAGATGCCTGTTTTAATCAATAGTTCAAATATTGTGGCTTTTTGGCCTCAAGGTATTTTTTTTTTGTTTTATATTGCTTTTTGGCCTCAAGGTAATTTTTTTTATTTTTTATATATGGCTTTTTGGCCTCAAGGTAATTTTTTTTTATATATATATTTTTATATTTTTATTCTTTATTTTACAACAGATAAAAAGCTAGTGGCCATTGACAAAAAAACAAACTTTGGTTTGACTATAGGTCGCTCCTAAGTATAAGTCGAACCAGTGCCCTCTAGTGGCAGTTAGTGTGAAAAAACGACCATGCCATATTCCATTGGAAGCCCCTCATGGCCATAATAATGTGAGTGCAGCTGTGAGAGTGAAGCTCACTGTTTACATTTCCCAGATTTGTTTTTTTTTACTTTTTGTTTAGGTTCACACTGCCCAAGTTCAAGCTGTGAACTCCTAGAAGCGCACACGGCTACTTGGAATGATGGATCAGACCGCACTGATGATCAAGGCATTCATGCTCATTGTAGATGGTTCACAGAAACAATCTGAGCAACATTTACTTGTGCTTGCAAGCAAAAAAAATTCCATTTGACCCATAAATGCTTTTCTAGTCGTCCGCTCAGTCGGCAGTTTCACAGCTGCTTGGGACGATCAGTGATTTGTGAAAATCCCATGTGCTTCTTAAACAGCGTCCAGTAGAAACCAACAGCACATAAGAGCGTTTCATGTAAAGAGGGTTTTTTTTCGTTCCTCTGCAGGACAACCACCAGATACTCAGTAACGCCTCATACATCAACACATTGCTCAGCAGGCCCCGGGCAGCAGACCAGACCTCCTGAGGATACGGAGAATAGACGGTTGGACAGCATCTACATACTTGACCTTCACTCTTCTCTGAGCCTCATCCCACCCACTCCTCAGCTTTCTGGTTCTGCTTTCATTAGCTCTGTGATCTTCCTGTCTCCAGCCACTTTCACATAGAAAAATAAATATTACAGTAATTTATGTGTGAACTCGGAGAGAGCAGGATATGAAGTTTACCTCAGTTTAGACAACCACTAGCTTTTGAACTCAAAGGGTGAATTGATTATGAAATGACGAATGATGAATTTTCTGCTCCTCATCATTGTTCCCTTGTAAAACGGTTTACTCAAATTTCTCTAAAAATCTACAATATTTTAACCAGTTTCAGTGAAGTACAATTTAAAGATGTTTGGGTTCTTATACGTGTAGTATTCAGACGATGTTACAGGAATTACTACAGATAAGGGGAGATAAGAGTGTTCTCTGCAAGTACAACAGCAAGTACAAGTACAGGAAGTACCATCCCTGGCTGTGACCCACGTGTTTTGTCCTAAGCTCATGTTTTACACTTTTATATTTTCATACTGACAGAGCTTTATTTTATAAAGCAAACACATATTTTTAAGGTAAAATTACATTAAACTGATAAAAACATTCTACATATTCATACTGACAGAGCTTTATTTTATAAAACAAACACATATTTTTAAGGTACAATTACATTAAACTGATGACGGATGGATGAATGGATGGATACATTAATGGATGGATGGATGAAAGAATAGAGGACTCTAAAAAAGCTCTCCTTATAAAAGCATTTCTAGAAGATGAATCGTGTTTTCCTCGTCTAAACACTGTCAGTGTGTTGTAGTGAACTGGTAAACGTCCCATCTCTGTTAGTTGGCGCTGAAGTGTGATTAAACTGTAGTTTAACTACAGACAGATCAATAAGAAATTAATCTGGTACAAACACTGACCTTGAATGACAGTAATTCATGTCATGCAGTCGCCGTCGTACCAGCTGTGAGTTCATTATGCTGTTGATATTCATGGTCTATCACTGCATCACAATAAACACATCTTTAATACAACAACACTTTTTCACAATAATCACTTTTGACAAGCTCATGTCTCCACAACAAACCCAGATGTAAAATGACAACATTTTTCTAAGCGACACCTGCGGACTGTGGATGTACAGTAGATGAGAGTACTGCACACCAGCAGTGTTATACACACACGTCTGCTTGTACGAATGTGAATGTTCACTGTGACCTTAAAAGGAAAACAAGCATTTCTGGAAAGACAAGCTTGTTGGTCTCAGAGTTCATCTACAGTTCTAGGGATGAACACAGTGCTGTAGAATCTGTCTGAACTGTATACTGCAGTACATGCAGTACCTTTGGTGTCACAGGTCTTTTAATGTGATTGACACCAAACTCCATCAGGGAGCCAATCAAAGATGGCACCCGTCTGAACAGCCATCTGACTGAGAAATATTCAAAGTCTCTCTGTCTCTTTCTGTCCCCGTCCCTCCACTCCGTCTTTTCTCATGTGAGCACACCCTCAGGGTTGTACTTTTTATGGTTCTAAATACTCCATCCTGTTTTTTTAATGAGTTAACAACAATTCAGACTCTTTTCGTTCTCACGACTCTTGTCTAACAAAAAAAAAAAACTAATCAATCCAACATTTTCCCACAAGACAAATGTGAGATGGACAACGAACAACTCCAACGCTAAATATCAAAATGCTAACATACAGAATGCATTTAGTGGGAATAAAGCCGCACCAAGAATAGACTGCGCCCCACTGTTTGTGTCAACAGATGTTTTTCTAATGTATCATATATGCCATATAACATCAGAAAACGTCAAGACTAAATACTGCCTGTAAATATTTGTGGACTCACAATTATGAATGCATATTGTAGAGAGTAAATGTAAAAATCATCAAAAAAAAAAAAAAATCATCACAGGTTTCCCAGAACGACCCTGTCTGAGCTCAGACTGTAGTCATGCAACAACTGGAAGTGCTTTTTTTTCGTACTCCTCCAGCTTCCTGCCTCCCCCCCCCAGCCCCATTCTATTGAGGTCTGGGTTTATTGTTTATACTTTAGGGTATTGTGTATCATATGTTTCCGCTGACTGTATATGGGACTTTTCTTTGTCTTTGTAAGGGTCATATTGGAACGTTACTTCCTGTCAGCCTGTGATTGAACTGAATGTAAATCAGCTTTAGCCCATAGTCCATAATAAAATAAATAAAAAACTGTTCTTGTATTTTCTGAACTTTTGGGTCTACTAAGACAAGTATGTGTTTGTTCATAGTAAATACTGTAATTTAAACAGTGTATTTGCCAAAAATCTTTAACTACTATTTTGTAATTATTTTGTTAGAGTAAAAATAACATTATAGTGTATTAAAGGCTGATCATTTTGTAGTAAATACTACAAGTTACAGTAGACAATCATACACACACAGTCAAAAACATTTCATATTTTTCCTTTTTTACCTACTTAGATAAACAGTTGCCAATAATAACATTTAGGGTAATTATACTTCATATCCACAGTAATACTGCAAGACACTACAATCATACGGATCTTCTTTTTTTCTTTGTTTTTTTTTTTGTTTTTTTAGAAAAATCTCAGATCTCATAAAGTACTAATTTTACTTAGGAAACTTTACAGTTTGAAGAGTGTGTGTGAGTGTGTGTGTTTACCTGACCTGTCTGCAGTCCACGTCGAGTTCCTCTTAAAAATGTCTGGAACAAATGAAGAGAACAGTTAGATGATGGCGACCATGTTCAGATACAGTACAGTTTCTTAAGAATACCATAAAAATAATCTAAAAAAAAAAATCCCCGACTGAATAAACACGATTAAATGTTTCTACTGTCTCGTTCCTCAGACAGAAGGTAACAGAAGTGAAACACGCCTGTGTCAATTTTCAAACTCTAAGTTAGTTCAAGTGTCAGGTTTTAACAGTCAGACAGATGTTTGTACATTCATATGAGACACAACAGCAGGATTCTGTATTGTTGTGGTTTTCCTCTCAGGTATTGACTGACAACAGGCGGTCGCAACCACAACATCTCCCATCTGACCTCACCTGCACACAACACTGTCACCCTCCACCTGGGCTTCGACCTCGGTCAGGCAACTGTCTCTTCTTCTAAAAAAAATAAATTCTTCTTACTCCTTAGACCAGTGGTTCTCCATCTTTTTCTACTCTGTACCACCAGAGAAAACACTGAGCTCTCAGAGTACCACCATGACCAACATCAGAATACAGCAGCAGAGGCCTTCACTGTTAGCTTCCACCACAGGAGAGATGTTTATAAATGTTTATGTTTGAATGTTGTGTTAATTGTGCGTGGTGTGTTTCAGATTTATTCAACTGAAAATGTAAATGTGAAAATGTGAATTCCTGCGTACCACTAGAGAGCGCTCGCGTAACACTGGTGGTACGCGAGCGCTCTCTAGTGGTAATTTATGACCATTAAAACTATAACGACTTGTGACATATCAACAACAGCCGTGATCACTGATTAGTTTAACACAGGTAAACAAATACAGCTTCTATTATATAAACAGAGACCACGCAGCAGGACACACAGCTGCCACCCACAGGTCACCCTGAAGATTTCATTGAAATGTTTACTATCAACTCTAGTTAACGTGTGGATGACGTAGTAACCTCTAACCACAACCCACCTCCAACCCTCCGACCACAAACACACTGCACGCGTGTTGACAGTCAATCGTGGAGCTGTCGCCACGACTGCTCCAGGCGGTCAGAGATTCGTGTGTTATCCCTGACAGAGAGACGAGGGCAGGTTCACGAAGCGGACGTTTTTAAGCCAAATAAGTGTTAAAGTAGTTGGGTAAAAACTTTATTAACACAAATCAGAAGGCAAAGCACAGTTCAAGCTCATTTCTATAACACAGACTCTACGATATCCTTCTGTGAGTCACGACGACGTCGGTTCTCTTAGTTAAATATTAAATTAACACAGCCACGTGGATATAGTGCATAATATATTCATATCTACTCAGACACCTGTCGTTATTGTCAGCATCAACAGTAGGAGTGCAGCCTCAGTCATGCTCATTCTTTTGAATAGTAGCGCCCTCTAGTGCCTACTCGGCACGGTTACAGCAGTAGTACAATCAGAAACACGGCTGACAAGAAAGGGGAGAGAGGGGCCGGGAGGAGAGGGAGGGGAGAGAGGGGAGACAAAACACCACTTTGTACCGTTCATATACTGTAGTCCAACAGCAGCCTGCAATACTATATTAGAAGATGCACCGTCACAGTTCACAGATAAGGCGGATTGATGGAAAAGTGTAGAATGGGAAGGTAACGAGGTTATACTTCAGGAATTAAAGGGGGAATCCAACTCATTTTTTAGGATAAGAAACAATCTTTTGTCAGGTATTAGTTTTTCCAAACATGCATCACTTTTTTTTAACGTATTTTAAGGATGGGAGCTAATTCAATTGATGACCTATGACCTATGCTGTTTTACTACCTGGATAATGTAAAGTTTATTATTGTTATTTTTAACTTGTGTGTTATTTAAGCATTAGTCCATTTGTTTTAGAGTATTTTAAGGCTAATTTTTCATTTCTTTGTTTTAAATCACCCACTGGTTTTATGCTTTTTTTGTTTGTTTGTTGAAAAAACATATATTATATATATTTATATTTTAATGTTTACACCAATGGATGCTGGAAGCAACAAAATCTCATGACAATAAATCTAAAATTAAAAATCCAATCATAGCAGTGTGTGTGTAGCATGTATGGAAAAGTGCATATAATTTGCATCTCAGTCGCTAAAACATGAAAACACTGTTGAAAATGATGGCATTCCCATTAAAGGAGCTGTAGAATAATGTATAGGCACAGTTAGTACCAAAATCACAGGTCACTGAGTTTTTTTTTTTTTTAAGATTTCACTTCCTCTACATTCACTTACAAACAGCTAAATAATAATTAGTTCACTGTAATAATGTTATGAGACTGGAATTGTTGTTTTTTGCTTTTCTATGCTATGATTTAGGCACAGAGGAGTTGCTGCCCCCTGGTGGAGGAGGAAGAGATTACTGTCTGCTAGAATTCAAAAGCTGCGGGTTTTGTTGTTAAACAACCGCCCATTGCAGGATGCTGGTGTCTTTCCCACCAGTGGAGATCAGGTGACTGTCGTCATGCAGGAAGGCAACGTTGGTCACGTGACTGCTGTGGCCACCGTACTCGTGGCTTGGAGCCTGAGGATGTAGAAGGAAAGTGTTAGAGTGATGACGATCACAAGTCAAATATAAGGCTACGATCATAGAATTCTATCTGTATCTTCATTATTTATAGTGATTTATTATATTTAATATAAATATTGAATCTTCTCCAAAGAAGATTTCTGCTAAACTGAGTTTCCTTCTTCTCCTCCTCCAGTAGTCTGTGCACTGACTGACCCTTGGTTGACAGCAGGGGAAGGAGAACAAGAGCACTTTGCCGAAGTCATCGGCAGAGACCAACAGGGATCCGTCGTTTGACCTGCACACGGCGTTTATGTCTGTGCCGTCGGCACCGTCCGGCCAAACACCTGAGACACGCAGAAACAGGAGGTCAGTGATCAGTCTGAGGAGACCAACGGTCAGAATGGACCGTCACCCTGGACCTACCGAAGGTGTTGAAGGACAGGGTGCAGGTGTAGGTGGCCCACTGAAGGTTACGCACCGTTTCCATGTTGGTCACATGTTTTCCACTCGATGCCTCCCCTGAGAGATCATAACAAACGAGAAGACTTTTATTCATGTGGAAAGAAGGTTAAATTGTTGGGTTTTTTTTATTCACACTGCAGTCAGAACCAAAGCTGAGGACTTACAGAAGAGGATCTCGTAGTCTCCTGAGTTGGTGACGATGTACTGGCTGTCAGACGACCAGTCCAAATGTGTGACAAAGCTGGAGTGGCCCTGAGAACGGAGACAACATCACTCATTGTGTCAGACCAAATGTTCTTAAACACTCAGATAATTTTATTTCAAACTGAAAAAAAGGTCATATATATATATTTTTCATTTTTGTTAACAATATGACATTCATTTTTAGATATCTGCTTACAGTGCACTTCCCAGCGCGGCTGTACTTTCGTCCATTCTCCGTCACAGCATAGATGTAAACAAAGTTGTCATGGGAAGCCACGGCAAGGTAGTTACCATCTGAAGACACAAGGGCGGCAGAGTTCACAACAGTTAGCGTTTTATTGATGGATATGACTGAATACCCCGGTGGTTTTTGAATATTTTATTGTAGAAATTTCACACATAAACACAGTTTTTTTCAAGAAGTTTCCGAGTGAAGAACACGGCCTTCCAATAATGTTTTGAGATGTGATCGTAGTCTGTGTTTGTAGAGGAACTACTACAGCCATGTCAGATCAGGTGCTGTGACATCCTGCTGAGTGTTTGAGTGTTGTTTTACCTGGAGAGTACTTGACATTGGAAATTATCTCATTGCCGTCCGTGTGCATAGAAACCAGATCCCGAGTGTCGGTGTCCAGCACCAACCACCTGCAATAAACAAGTCAGTGCACCCAAGTCACGAGGAGATTCAAGATGGTGTAAAATATGGCAGATATACGTAAAAAAATATACATGGAGTCTCAAAGAGGTTTCTTCAGTTCTGAACTGAAAAAAACCTACCAGTCGAGACAGACACACATTAAGAGATGATGTACATGTAAATTCTACAACAGCATCATAGACAGAGGTGTGTCTGACCTTCCAGTCATGGTCCCGACTGCCACAACCGCTCCACTGGGATGAAAACCTGCAGACCTCCCCTGATCCTGCAGCACAGAACAGTTCAGGTTTAGTTGAGTTCAGTGGTGAACTCGGTTCCTCTTGTCCAGGAATCTTCACACAGGTCTTTACCTCAATAGTCTTGCTCCAGAGGGGCTGATGGGAGTTGGTGTCCCACAGGTGAACCTGTTTGTCCTGAGAGCAGGTGACAAACTGCTCCATGGAGGGGTGGACATCCAGACCCCACAGTTCATCTGTGTGACCCTGTGAACGTCATGTCCAGTTCAGTGCTTTATGAAACCAGTGGGATGAACTTGACCTTTAGTATTAGTAAGTGTCGTATAGACACTGAACTTGACCTTTAGTATTAGTGTCGTGGAGACATAGAAAATGAATATGTAATGACTATGTTTTGACTATGTTTGAAGTGTCGTAGAGACACAGAAAATAAATATGTAACGACTGTTTATGCTATTCGTAGAGACATAGAAAATAAATATGTAACGACTGTTTGAATTATGCTATTAAATTAACTATTCTGCTTCAAGTTTGAACATTAAACAAGAAAGTTTATGCTAATAATTTCAAACTGGTTTAGACAACATCATGCTGGTTTCTAATAGGTGAGCCTCGATCCGATACTCAGGATTAGTATCGGTCCGATATTCATAATTTAAGGATAAATATAGGAAACAACTGGAGCCCATCTGATCTGTTACCCAAGCCCAAATACCATAAACAGGAAACACTATCTCCTCCACGGCAGCCTGCAGAATGATGGAGGAGTAAAGAAGGGATTGTGTTGCAGTATCGGTGTTGGTCGTTGGTCGTCTTCGGTGAGTGCTTACTTGTACGACAGGTGTTAATGTATCAGGGAAAGCAGCTCTGATGATGGCGTTCTTGGTGGTCCCAATAAAAAGTTCTCCTGGTTTTCCTTCAGCCAGAGCCCGAACTGGACCAAACGCCTCTCCGACCTGAACACGAGCAGAGTATTTGTTCGGTTGAAAAAAACCAAACACATTTCTTTGTTGTCAGCACACCCTTCATATGAAAACACTGTTCTTCACTCTCACCTCCATGTCAGTCTGTTTTCTGTAGTCCTGGTCCCACAGAACCACCTTGCGATCCTTGCCACCTCCAGACACCATGGTGCCGTCCTTCAGCACACATATGGAGAAGATCCCACCCTCGTGGGCCCCGGACAGGACCTGACTGATACGATTACCCCCTGTAAATGAGAGGAAATGCCCTTTAGTTGGACTGTTTTCATTTGTCTGTTTTGAATCCTGCTGTTTTTGATTTACCTTTGGCCCAGATGTAGATGTTTCCGCTGGAATCTCCTGTGATGGCATCGCCGTTCTGAGCAAATGCCACACACAGCACATACTTTGGTTTCTCGTGTTTCTAGAGAGAGACACAGAGGGTAGTATTTACTGGAAAATGTGTTTGTTTCACCCGTCTTCACCCCAAACATTTTTTTTCAAATAAACACTGAAATTTCAATGGGGTACCGGGGGTAATAAACACTGAAATTTCAATGAGACCTCTAATCTCACTAAAACAAAATAAACTATGAAAGAGAAATAAAAAAAACAATGTTTAAAATGAAAGGTTCTGCTGGGTACCCCTGGGGCCCTGACCCCCACTTTGGGAACCAAGTGTGTTTTGTTGTTTTTCTCTAAGGAGTGACTGTATGTGAGCGGATGTTGACATGACCGTACTTCAAACAGGCCTTGTCTCTTGGTCAGAGTGTTTCCCTCCATGGTCCAGAAATTGATGTGTGATTTTCCACAGGTGACGATCAGGTTGGCGTCCATGGGATGAAACATGGCAGCCAGCACAGAGTCATTGGAGCACTGAGGCACAGAGAAGAAGAAAAAGATTATTAATTCATTTGAGTTTTTCTAGTTTTTCCTATGGTTTCTTCTAATAAAACAGTCTACCTTGACGTCAGCGATCTGCTTCTCCTTCTGCCAGTTCCAGACTGACAGCATGTGGTCATTGGAGTCGTCCACAGCGCAGAGGAAGGCGCCACCGTTCTGAAGTTAAGAACACTTGAGTGAACGGAGGAAATGTAAAAAAAAAAAAAAAGAAAGAAAGAAAGAAAAGGAAAGAACATTTTTGATCATTGAATCTAAAACTCAGTCTGTCTGTGGAGCTGCTCACCGACTTGGAGAAAGCGACACAGGTCACAGCTCTGTCAAACACTCCCATCCCGATCACATGGAGTGTGTTGAGACTCACAGAATCCCAAACACGGATGTGAGGAGGAAGCAGCTAAAAAAGAAAGTGTGATCAGCAACAGATACGCGTTGGACAAGTTGACTTGACAAAACAATACTTTACTGATGTGTATTTTTAAATCTACATCCATTAACCCAGGCATGGGCAAACTAAGGCCCGGGGGCCGGATGCGGTGCGTTCATCTTTTTCATTTATATTATAATTATACTTCTGCCTTTTCCCTGCAATACCCGCATTTCCCCAACAGATGGCATCGAAAATGGTAAAAGCATTTTAGCATTTTTTAGCCTTTTTGCATGACTTCTACATGTCATTTATTTTAATTCACACAAATTCATTAATGCCCCTGCCCCCGTTCAATTATTAGGACAATTGGGGCCCGTGAGTCAAATTATCAAAATATTTACCTTAAACTTTTTGTAAATGTATTGATTGTTAATAAAAACAATAAAACGATCCGAACACGACACGTGCTGTGTGACAAAACGATGTCATCATGTCTATGAGTCAACGTCTTATTGACTCAGTGTCTGTGAGTTTGCGAGGTTTTCACTTTACCTTCCCGTCTTTGGAGTTTCCAGCCACTTGTCCTGTTGCTATAGTGACCATGTCAGGATGCACACTCAGGCTGTGGAAGAAATGAATATACAGTATTCAACTGTTGTAAAACGTAGTCTTACATTTAATGTTGATAAATGTTAATTCAGATGCAGTCAAACATTTTCATAACAAAATCGAGAACAGAATCATTATATAATAATGACATCAATGCCAAACTTAATAAAACAATATTATTGCCACATTATACACAACATGGCAACATAAAAAGCTTTTTTAATCAACAAAAGTTGGATTTCCATGACAGTGTGAGAAAAAAAGGCTGCTAATGTTTCTGTGGAGTTTTCCCAGCATGCCCAGGGGAATTCATTTGTTTACATTCAAAAACCACCAGTCACGAGGCTCAATCTCAGACAAGCAAAGTAAAACAAAACTTTACGGTTGAAGTGAATGCAATGAGACAGAAACTAAGCTTGTCAAAATAAACCAACAGATTTCTCTCACCACTTGACGTCGTCGTTGTGGCCCAGGTAGTGTCTCTGCTGCTGCTCCTCAGTGTTGTACAGCACCACCACAGAGGCATTGAAGTAGACAATCTCTCCCGTGGGCAGGAGGTAGACGTTGGAGCGGCAGTCCCGGCCACGGTACCCATATCTGTTCAGGGATCGAGTTAAGACCACAGACCGGGGTAGAGCAGCCATGAACACATGACAGTGAGAGACAGTGAGAGTGGTTGGACATATCTGCCAACAGTTGACCTCTGCCTGAACAGAACTCTCCGTATCAGGGAACTTCACTCATGTCTGAAGGATACACCCACTTTAGTTTGAGTTTGCGAGCAGGGAGCGCCACCTTCTGGTCAAGGCTGTAGCTTTCTTTCTGCTCGTCAGGGATGTGCATGGTGACAGGGCGACCACGGAGGAACATCCTAACGTAGCCGTCCTCTGTGAGAAAAGTGACAAGAAGTAAGAGAGGGAACAAATGGAAGAACTACGGTGGATAAAAAAAAAAAAAGGGGTTGTACACTAATCATTCTCAACGTCTTTCTCTACTCTGTCCATGATCCTTCATCTCTTTGATTTGTTTTTCTAAAAAATGCCTTCAATTGTATTTACTAAGTTATTACACGTCCTGTAAGAGGAGCTGGGGGGAGGGGGGTACTGCAGTCAAGGTCAGCAACTCATTAAAGAGTAAAACATGAACAATGGATGGAGACTCAAATGACACACAGACTTTACTGTAAGCATCTGGGAAGAAAAAAAAGTTCCTTCTCACCTGCATTAAAGGTGCATTCTTTAGATTTGCTGAAAAGGAAAAGAGGAAAAAGCATTAGTGACGGTGCTGTTGTTTCCTCAAAACCTGTTGTTTGTTTTGGAAAATACATAAGACGTTAGAAATACAATATTCATGGAGCTCATCTAACTTTGTTCCATGACATCAGGTTTTCCTATCATTTTCTCTAAATTATTCATTCTCATTTCCAAACACTGTCAGACTCTTTGGAGAGGAGCTGCTGTAGAGTTCAGTAGAAAAACTGGAATTGGACGGCGACGGCAGCTAATCTAATCTAATCTAATCTAATCTAATCTAATCTAAACTAATCTAATCTAATCTAAACTAATCTAAACTTTGACATAATATTTTAGTTAACATACAACGATTCTAATATTATACATTTCAATTTTTTATTTAAAATAATTGTTATATAACCATTGGGAAGCAGAGCATAATCTATTTTAGACTGATTTTAAAGTAATTGCAGCCAGGAGGAATTTGGTAAACAAAATCATAGTTGTGTTTTCTTTATTAAGAGTAAGTAGGTTTTTATTTGATTAGGTATAAAATTAATAAAGAGATGAGGCAGAGGAAATAAACGCTGTTATCTGCAGGGTGTGACAGTGACACTGATTAAAAAAAAAAAGAGAAAGACTGCTCCTGAATCAGCTCTCTGAGTGTCAATAGGAGACTGTCAGTTCACCTAACCTGTGTGAACGCTGTCAACCAATTAAACGACAGACATTGAAGTGCTGCCTGGGCTGACAGATGGACGTCACCATGACAACTGCAGCAAGAGAGATAAAAGTAAACCTGGGGCTTTTCTCTTCCTTCACCGTAACAGGAGAATGTGGTAAACAAGGCAGCAGCAGCAGCAGCAGCAGCAGCAGCAGCAGCAGCAGCGAGTCATAATATATTCACTTCTGTTTTTCCCACAGGGGTATGGAGAGTGTGTGTAAATAAATGCAGATGAAGTCAAATGTGACTCTGTTAAATTTTGCTTTCGTACTGTGTGAAAAAACACATTCCGTCTTAAGCGGTGAAGAGAGCTGTGAGTGAAGAAGAAGAACACTCGATGTCAAAGGTGTGTCTGCTGCACTTTCCCTGACATTTGTTTTACTGGGAGTCTCCGTGAGAATCTTCCCGGTGTCGATCTGATCTGCTGTCGGATCAACTCCTCTGTCTTAGGGTTTACAGCAGGAGTGCCAACGTGTGTCAACAACAGACTCGGCCTTAAATCCACACCAGATCATGTGAGAGTTTTCAACTGGAAAAGTGGAGACAACGGAGACACAGAGTGGAGAGGAGACTGGTGTGAGGTGGACTGGTGTCTGCTGGGACACTGGGAAGTGAGTGGGCAGGAGTCAAAGAACCACAGAAAGACTCGGTTGTGTCTTTAACTGCTTGTATGTGTTTGCTCTGCCAGTAAGACGAGGTGTGGTCTGATTCTAGCCAATGGGAAAACAGGCATTGATCCAGAGCCAGTAATTAGTACAAGCCATGTTGAGTAACTGGCAGCCAGACGTTTGGCTGCCGTCCTGTAGCCTGCAGGTTTCCAGGGAGGAATTAACAAACAGGCCAGCCATGAACGAGCTGCTAATATGAAAAACTGAGATATTATTCACTTAATCACACTTTAAAGCCATCTTTTCAGTATTTGTCACAATTCTTAATTTGGAGACTTTTCTTCAGGATTTTTTTTAAATTCCATCCAAAAAAGAACTTTTCAGTCACCACAAATCTTTTTTATTTTGTACTGAACAA